GGAAACATAATAAACATATAATACACAACATCACAGTAGATAAACTCTCAAACACACACACACACACACACACACACACACACACACTGCGGCGACTCACTGCCGACAGTTGATGATCTGTTGGTTACGAGTTAGTGGGTTAATAAATAGTAGGAAACTACAGAACAAACATAATCATTTGATAACTACACATCATCAAGTCACCCCTCGTCACCCGGTGCCCTCCCCCCGGCCCCCGGTGTACAGCTGTTACAGTTACCGCGCGCTGTGCGACTGGGACAAGTATTGCGTACAGTGCTTGCTCGTGTGACGTCACTGTATAGTATGCCATGGGATGATGACGTCACTAGCTCATTTGATCACTAATAGAAACTGAGCAGTTCAATGAATACGATTAAATAATTAACAATATTAAATAACCTTTCAGTGTGTTTACATCAATATTAAGTTCAAACGAAGCCGCGTGCTGTTTACTATATAACCAATGGTCCGTAAATTACTTAAATATGAAAATTATTTATGATAAGTTTATTACACGAACACGAATCAGGTGTTGTGCCACGAGCATTCACTGTTTGTGTCGTGTTTGTAAGTAGCGACGGTGGTTAACTCTTGAACTGCCTGCAGTAGTGTGTGCAGAAGCTGCTCTACTACAGACACTGAAGTAGTGCACGCGACGCCGCGCACTATGTAGTAGAGCAGCCGGCGCGGCGTGCCATTCCATTAGCGGCGGTATGCGGCTGCCGCGGTGCTCCTGTGACACACTATTCTTTACCTTAAGCTCTAAGTCTGTTCGCTATTACTTACATTTCGTCTCACAATGGTTTACGAAGCACTGAACATTTAAAATATCAATATTTTAAAGTCTATTTTTGTGTAACTTTTTCTATTTGAAATGATTCTCAGTTGCTTGCTGCTTGCATGGCTCTGTAGCAGTACGTACACTTTCTAATTAAGAACAAGAAGCAGAAATAAGAAATGATGCGATCTTTTAAAAATAAACTTTACAAGGTCAGACCGTCGTCTTCAAATATAAAAATCTCTTTGTATGAAATATTCCAGGGGAGGTGAACAAACTGCTGCTGAGAGTATTTATAGTCTTACTTCATTCAATTGTTTTTTATGAAAAAACTTGAGAGTGTATAAACTAATATTAAAATACTAACTAATCTTGTCTAGTACTGTAAGCAAACATGGAAGTAAGTTTCTTTTTCAGTCTGTTTGGTCCACTTTCATGTTTAATTGTTTGAGATCGCCATCTAATACGATAAATAACTATACCATCCGGACGTAGTCGTAGGTAGAAGCAATACTTCGTAACAAAGCGATGTAGTAAATAAGCAATAGTGAGTAACATCGCTCATGTTGGTCACGGGACACGTTGAAGCAACAATACGTAGTACATGTTGAAATGACGGGGAGCGATGAGTATTAAATGGCGTCCCTTGCACTCGTACTGTCACCCGCGCCGGCGCTGAGCACTCCCTCACTAAACGAGATAAGGCACGTCCTGCCTCCGTCTGCTCACCTCCTGCACTCCTCAGAGAGTGCTCGGTTCTTTCTGCGAGGGAAAGGATTACCCGGCTTGTACTTATATACATACTTTTGTAATTAATATTGGGAAGTGAAAGCTTCAAAGTTCTTTTTAAACATAAAAGCATCGAGCCTGGGCCCGGCTAAAGTTCATACAAAATTGGATCAACATTAAATGAATTAATGCATTACGGTGGAATTAAACAAATGGGATAGCTACTACTTAAACAGTGACTTTGCTCAAATACTTTTTCACAATATGTTGAGATGTGCTACGCCGTAGCAATGCTACGCGGCTACGTGTTTACGTAGCTCCATGGACCTTACACGCCGGGACGAATTTGTTCAAATATAAGAATCGCAAATGGCCGCAAATACTTGATATATTGATGTTCGGTTAAGTTATTTGCCAGCGGTGCAGGGCATACTAATGTAGACGGGTCCACGAGTGTTGCGGCGTTACTTTGTGAGGTTGTTGTTGTCACTTGTTTACTTTTTACTCGAACGTATAGTAGGAAATGTGGTAGCTATCACGAGCATATATCAAATAGTTTTGATAAATGTTCGACCAGATTGTTAGCGTTTCGATAGACAAACCAATATACTGAATTGGAAATAATTTGATATGAGTGAGCACAACCGCCAGCGCTGAGCCGGCGCGACGGCGCTCATTATCTGATACAGCTGTTAATCACCGCGTAGAACTGCTGACCGAGCTCTGTGATATTGTTTGATAGTGGCCTGCAGTGGCTGACTCTCACACCGACCACGGACGTGACCCGGCTCAATAGCTTTCCTATTGACTAGATCTGTCTAGTCAGAAGGGAAGCTATCACACGAGACTATCACACGTGCCACATGTGACGCGACTGTGTATTACTTAATGTATACAAGTTGTTCGTTTTTTCACAACATTAAGTTAAAATACTGTAAAATAGATCGGGGTTGAAGGCAGGTTCAGAGCTGACTGAATACTCCGTAAACTAGATAGTGTTACAATATAATTTTTGTTTGATTTTCGTACTTCTGACATACAACGTTTCTACCTCTAATATGTAATGATGGTATTGTAATAAAAAATTGGGCACGGACCAAGAGTCCGTGGAGAATTAATCTATGACATCATACATAATATATATATGTATGATGGAAACCGCAGCGAACATCTGTATGTACTCTACGTAATTTAAATGAACTGTGTAGTCTTTATACGCATGAATATTATAAGAAACAAACAGAAATGATTTTGTTTATTATCCGTTAATTAAAATCAGTCGGTACCAGTGAATGACTATCAGTTGTGTAGTGCGGCACTAATCCAGTTACCGCGCCATATCGAGCGCGAGTCCGAGTCGCGACCGATCCACAGCTCTATACACCGCGCGCCGGTTTACTGCCGCGCTTGCACCAACAACGGTCTGTTGACTAATCCCTACCTCTCTGTTCACAACATAATATACAATAACAGAATAACTGCTTTTGTACAACTAAAGCCTTGTGTTTGGATGAACTCGACTGGTAACGTATTTGATAGCGCTATATAAACATTTCAACATTTTTAATTTGTTTGAACCAATAACAGCGGGACCAAAATAATCCAAACGGGATAATATCGCTTTGAACAACACAAAATACAATTAAAATGACATAGTAACAATTGTTTGGCAAATAAATTAAAACATAAATCATGGAGCAGACCGCAGTGTGTTGTCCCGGGCGTGTGTTCCACGTAACACATCCAGACGGACGGATTTATATATACGGAGCTATCGAGCGCTGGAGCAATAATTGCGCGGACTGCAGTGCACGACCAGTCGGCTAGTCCACCAGCGTTGTCAAACATTCATACTCTCTGATTATTGCAGAGAGAGACAGTGAAGTATTTATTTGATAATATACTTGGAAGAAGAACTTCGTAAGCTAAATTAATTATTTATATTTATTTAAAAAAATATTTTGGTTCATTTTCTTTTATTTTATTTTATTTCAACTTCATACAACAAGTGTGTACAGGTGGACTTAATGCCTTGGGCATTGTCTCCCAGACTCTTCTTTTGTCTAGTGGGTGCATTTAAAAATATACAAGGTCACATATACATGACTTTCAGACCAGAAACAACCAATTTGAGGATTATAAAATGAGTTACTCTGTGCGAGATTAAAATCCGCTGCACGTTGCGCGGCAGCCGGTTGCCGCGCCGCCTCACGCACCTTCTAGACTTTACTAGAGGTAAAGAAATAGAAGCGTACTTCGACGAGCAATTTGTAAGAAGTAATACGTTCATTGGCATTTTATTCAGTTAGTTCATGAAATCCTTGGTATCGACGGTTCACTTCGATAAGTTTATGTCATTGGTTTGGTAGTTATTGATCACATGGTTGTCTAAAACACCTTACTTCTTTCAAAACTAACTGGTAACCAAGATATAATGTTTTGTGACATTCCACGGTAAAACAATATGTGACTCGTAAGACAGTGTCCCGGAGGCAGTGCGCGAGCGGCGCACGGCGGAGCACTCGGAGCTCTTACAAATATTAGCGCAACTAGCACGTGATCAGATTTGAATGAATTATTCAAGTCGCGGCCCTCTACCGTTTGTCTTGAGAGACGGCTGCAGAATCCGATAGCGCTTCAGCGCTGCACCGCGTAGAGATTAGATCATGCAAAAATGTTCCACGTATTATAGAGGATGGGCGCTGCAAGCGCTGCATTGTAATGTGATCAAATGCTCGAATTATGGATGGTTTAAATGTGCGATCAAGTTTAACAGATCGTCGGGAATTACTACCGGGAACCGATAAAAAGGCATTCGTATAAAATATTTTGTAACATGTGGTGTTAGAACAAACTACCAAGATTTACGAAAACTTACTTGTTCCTTAATGTACACTATGAAGTTTAATCGCAGGCAAAGTGTGTAGTTGACACACTAGTCTGATGTTGTGATATGTGACGTCACAGTATTCAATTGTATAGTACTTAGTTATATTATATCCCTGTTGTGTTGTTTGTATCGTCTGTAGGAATAGAGCTGTAACTGCAGCATACAAACAGAGCGTTGTGATCCCCATGAGGGTGATATTGTCATTTTTAGTAAATCCCTTCATTGATATAGAAGAAAAAATGTGATTGGTTGCCGACACACACTAGTGCACGATCCAGCAATGACTCCGTAGTGTCTAGGTATCGGTGCGCGGTGAGAGAACGGAGCGTCTGCAAAACAAGTGGAATTTATATCTGCGCTCAATATTGTACGGTCGGAAACAAAAGCAAAACTTTGCTCATAGATTGTTTAATGGCTTCCGCTGGCGCACCTCCAATGTGCGGTTCCGTTGGTTTAATCTGCTGACTGTAAATCTTAGATTTTGCTGATTACCCAATCTTTGTGTTACACCAGCGAATGAAACTTTTAGTACAGTGTCGTAATGTTGTTCACTCGGGTGTGATAACAAATAACACAATCTTGTTAAGGCAACTTTATGTATTTATGATTTACTAAAAAAAGTTCCAAACTAAACCATAATTTAATGATTAAGCAGAAAAAACATAAAATAGTGTCGAAGATGTGAATGTATTAACGCGGTGTGTTGGCGGCGTTGTACCGGTCTCGGTAGAGTTGGCGCGAGAGCCGGGCGGTGACGGCGATGCCCTGCCAGGTCTCCTCGTTGATGTGGTCCTGGTAGGACGGCGGCACCACGAAGTCGTACCCGTACCCTGGCAGCTCCAGCGTGTACGACATTGCGGCGCCAGCCACCTGCCAGACATTGCCCACCAATGTACATACATTCATAGCTTCCTCAACAATATTCATTGTATGAAAGAAAAATCTTTGATTACACATATAAGTTTGAAGTATAAGATCGCCGACATCGAACTCATGCAATGATTACAAATGATGATCATAACAATTATTAATGCACAATAAATATTATTCGTAGATTTGTTGTGACGTCATGTTTGGTAAACAAGTATACAGACAACGGTAATATACATTATGTAATATAGATAGTATCTGCTGGATGACCGTTCATTATTGAGATCTGCCATACCCCTACGGTTGAGGTCGTTGCAGGTTCGGTTCCGGAGTCACGCATCATTCCCCGCCGCCGCTCTACTACACGCTACGTTAGTGGCCGGCAGACGCTCGCTTCTAGTTTTTCTATCTCCGTTACTTTTATTGGCAGCTTGTTTAATTAATCTCTCGGAGCCATTAGCCAGCCCCTGTAGAGGTACAGCAGCAGCTGTCACTATACTGGCTCCTACTTATTGATACACACTCGTGTTATGTACGATACTGCGCTGCGCTTAAGAATTGTATCATAAGGTTTGTATTCGTAAAATATTATAGTTGGCATAGAATAGTAAAAGAGTACATTTAGGCCTTCCACGATGTCATGAAATCACTCTCAATGTACTTCTCCGTGTTAAGTAACCTTAAATAAATGCTTCTGTATTTCGACTTCCTGATATTCCGGCTATTTTAAGATACAAATGTAGAATCTGTAAAGTAATGACCACGTCTCACGTTCTGTACGTCCCTAGAATGTGTATCTAGACAAAAATGATTCAACTATAATATAATTGATATCCATCGAAGCCATTATCAAAAGTATAATAAATTGTGAGCGATAAGATTACCGCCGTGGCGGCGCTACTGCACCAGACCGATCATAATATTTGTCAAGTGACTGTTATTGTACCGGACAGAGTTATAAATGTGTGAAGTATTCAATCATTATATGATAGGTTCATTGAATTACGCTTGACGAGTTTACGAATAAGTGAGGATTGAGGAATTATTTTTGGAAAATAAAACTCTTGTTACCTGGCCGTAATCCTGTGCACTTCCCGAAGTGGAGTATAGAACGGTGGCGCTGTTCCCCACTCGGTAGAACCCAGCCTGGGGCAACTTCATCGCGTCCATGGTGGCACCCATGGCCGATCCGACGAGGAATATTGGTACGGCATTGGGTGGCAGAGTGCCGTCACCATATGCGAACAGCACGTAGTTCCCGTAGCTGTGGATGTCCATAAATATTTGCACCCTGCCCTTGTGCTCCGCGAGTATGTCCCTCACGTACCCAGTCTCGGGCTCCGAGAAGGGCCTCGCCCCGGCGTATGTAATCGCACACGGATTCGTCGGCGTGCCTACTCCATGTCGAACGTCGAAGTTCCTATTGCCATCCACTCCGATACAGGGGGTGTCGACAGTCGGGTCGGTCGATCTTGTCTTACGCCAGAGGCGGTCCTGCAACGAAATACAAAGTGACTATATATATTGCCTTTCTAATGTAATGTAACATAATAATATTATTATGTTCATATGGAGATCTGATATCAACGGCGTAAAAATTCAAAACTAGTAACTACTGTTTTGAGTCGTTTGTAGTCGAAACACTTGGCTCATGGGGTCCCAGTGCACACTCTGTCTTTAAAGATATCGCCCGTAAGATAATCGACTCTACACGTGACCAGAGGGCTGGCTATTTCTTCGGATAGAAAATAAGCATTGCCATTCAACGTGGCAATGCTGCCAGTCTTCTAGGAACGTTCCCCTGTGATAGTGATGCGGACGAATACTTTGACGCCTTAACTAACGGTCATAACATTTTTGTTGTTTCCTTTTTTTACTTTCGTTTTATTTAATAGTTTAGTTGTAGTTAATTTTAGATTGTAAATATTTATGTAGTTATATATATTTAATAATAGAATTTTTATGAACATATAAATTTCTATCCATTATGTTGTTGCTGTAGACAAACTGGCAGTCCTTACTTCGGTGTGCGAGTACTCGTATCCGTCAGGGTTGACGAGCGGTAGAATAATCCAGTCGATGTCGTTCAGCAGGTCTTGGTCCTGGGCCCTCAGGTTCTCCACCAGTCGGTACACGGAGTACATAGCCACGGGGGTGGTGACCCACTCGCGCGCGTGGATCATTGCTTCCATGAAGTAAATTGGTTTACTGTGGTCCTCGAAGTTCGTCGTTGAAATCTAGTGTAAGTATAAGGAAACGGTTTAATAAATCATGTACTCTGAATAATGCACACACTTCCGTACATTCCGCGCCGCTTACCTTCAAGTATTTAATGTCTCGGCCTTCAAAACTCTTCCCTGCGTTGACGAGAGTCACCAGGTTCGGGTGTCTGTCCGCGATCCTTTCCATTTCAGCATTAATCTAATTACCAAACAATCAATATGTATATAGTAGCGCACTGAATAAAAGCCATTAAATGCTGATACAGACGTCATGAGGAAGAAAAATAATGCAGTTTGAGAGGAGTCAACTCACATCATCGTATCGCATGTAGCCTTGGAATATCTGCCTGGTAGCTCGGCTGCTCTTCCAGCGGGCTATATCTTCGTCGTGTTTCTCTAAAGCTCTGTGAAAAAGGTTCCTCGTTGTTGAACTACCGTCCGTGTGTTCGTGTCATATATAGGAGTCTGGTGACAGTACCAGGCACCAGTAGCGGCCAGCCTGATACTAAACTGGCAGTAGTCTACTATCAGGCTGGGTGCTACGCAGGAGGTTTAGTTATACATGTACTCACTGAGTGACGTTCTCTACGTGCACGTAGTGACTGACTTCCTCCTTGTCCAGCGCGCTCAGGAACTCCTCCCTTACGTGTGGTGGCACCATCACCATGGCGTCTCTCACTAGCGGCATGCCATATTGCCACATGTCCAGGTCCAGGTTCAGTTCCAGATTGTGCAGCAGCTCCAGGTCCGAGGTGTTACGAAGCTGGACTCCGAATACTGCAGTTCTAAATAACGCATAACTTAGCAATGAGCAACAGAGGACTGTGTGTTACATATACTGACGGACAGACTGACAGACTAATATTTACCTATTATAAAATTATTGACGTTAAATTATGGTTTAATTGACATAAATGCTTTTGAGTTTGAGTTTCATACATAAATGAAGTTTGAACAACATTATGTCCAGGCATCAACTTGATTACAATTTTAATTCTTTTACTGATAACTAGATAATTATGATGAAAGTTGAAGTATTTGTAGACAGTTGTGAAATGTCAAAACTATTTTTTTATTAACCAGTCTGTCAGGGAGTAAACCCGTAGTGCAAGTACCTGGAGTAGGCATCGTGCCTCCCGGCGCGCGCGGCGCACAGCACGGCCGCGGCCGCGCACACACACACCCACACGCTGCGCTGCATGCTCACAGCTCACGCGACTGTGTCGACCTCGCTCCTGCGAGACACTACCCGCTATCTATATATTTTTTAAACAATATACCGACATATCTCGACGTTTATATTAATGGTTTTAAACTAATCATTACAAAATATAGGTACCGAGATAATCACAATTTTTATTGTTTGATAAGCGTTCAAACTATGTGAGAATGTCCTCCTTTACATAGTATACAAATAATTTATAGTATATACGACGACTCGGTATCATATTCACAACGCAGCACAATTAGTACTAATTGTTCACTTCAACTTTCAACATTGATGCAATAATTTTCCTACTTGAGTCGACTTGAAACATTTTGTAAATGTCAGACAATTCCGGTGGGCGTCCTAGCGTATACTCAAGTGAGAAACAAACAAACAGATCCAAACGTAATTTGGTGGCCACTAAACAAAGTTTGTCATCAACAGTGAGGGCCATCCATCCATTCAGAGAGAAAAACGCTGTCCTCGCGTAATGTTAATAAATGTTTCAAGTATTTCTCAGGTACTTATGTACGTACATCTCAGGCAAGGAACATCTCAAGCGGTATTACTTAGGAGCTTGTTTTAAAGTTTCTCTCGTTGGAACAATCCAGTCTAGTCGCAGCAGTACGTGACACGTGGGGACATGCTCACACACTGCAGCGAGCTACAGGCGTTGTGGTGACACGATAATAACCGGAAAAATTGATGTCAACTGTCTTTATCTTACTGATAGTAGTGATAGCGAACATGTACCATTTCACATAGATTACAATTGATTAATTATTTATATCAACAGCTAACAAAATAAAAATCCCATTTGAGTATAGTAGTACCCAAGTACTTGTATTATTATTGACAACCTTATACATCCGCACATCCATGCACCTCTCATACACACTGCATAGTGTATCTGCGTGCAGTGTGTCAGATGCACAGTTAGCAACACAAACTATAGTCGGTTCGTATTGGACCGTGCCTGAGCGAGTTTTATCTCAACCGTACTTGATATATTTTTATTAGCGTTATTAACTTCTGAACATCGACATCGTCCACGGACTGTTATTACAGAACAGATGAGTACTGTCTGCATGCCAGTGAGATATAAACTTATAAAAATAAGGCAATAGGAAACCAAACAACGTTTTAATATTCATCTATACTTGTAATAAATCTGTAGAGAGGTCAATTCTGTACATGAGATCAGATTTCCATAATAAGTATCAGGGGTTATTAGGGATTGATACTGTGCCAAAAATGCATTCCGTAATGTTTGTCTGTCTATCTGTCTGTATAACTGTTATAGAAACAAAAACTACTCGACGGATTTTAACGAACTTGAGTGGTTGGTTCTGTTTGTAACTCAGTCACATCGAAACGGCTGAAGGGACCGGGATGATATTTGGAATTATGGTCTGGAGTAATACTAGGCTACTTTTTATCCTCGGGAACCCGAACGAAGCCGCTGGCAGAAGTTAGTCCAATATAATTGTATTGTATTGGAGCGGTGCCGTTAATGATTTCATGACCATTCGTCTCACATGTATGTAGCATTTGAGAGAAAATATTATATTCGTACTACAAACTTGGAGACGAGGCGACACGCCGCGACGTGCGCACCAACGACTGTGACGTCATACTTACTTATGAACGATCTTTTCATAAAGTTTCACAAATATTCGACAGAGACCGTCTCGATATCTATTGGGAATGCAATCTGTAACCCAGTTCTGTTCTGTTCCGTTCAGTTTCAGCAACTTTACAAATATTCCCAGTCCTTCACTCCCTCCGAGCGTGTACGACCAATCTCTGGGAAACACTCGCCAATACTTAGACATAGTAAGCCGTGGTAGCGGGTTTATAAACATTTCTATTTAGCATTACAAGTGCTTAATTTGAATGAGAGTGGAAGTCAGTACCGGGCTTAATATTCTGAACTGCAATAAATTGATAAATACATACATAATTCAGTAACACACGTGATTATTTTGTTTGGTGAGAGGCGCGGGCGGCGCGGGCGGTGCGGGCGGTGCGGGTGGGCGCCAAGTGCTCGCTGCCATTTCGCAACTCGAATGAAACTCCATTTAAATTATATTTTCCATTTTGTTTTGTCGTCTGCTCTGTCAATATATGGCCGTTAACTTTAAATTGAAACGTCGCGCGCAAACATTGAAATAAAACGATGATTCAATTATTCGATGAAAATCCGTATCTCGTACACTATACGACCAACTTTTTAAATTAGGTCAATTCCTTTAGCATCGGACACGATCTGTGATAGAGCAGGTAGGGAAGATGTGATAGTATGGCGCCGGACAGAGATAGAGGATGTTCTTAAGTGTTAGGAGCGCAATTTAAAAGTTTGTCGTAAGATATAGCTAGGGGTGGGCACGACACATTTGTCAACGCAGTCCTAATATAAATTGAGACAAATGTTGGATAAAATGTTGGGCGTTGGAGAATGTGCTCAGTGCCAACTTTTGAATGGTCGTCCGCGCGGAAATCGTTTGTTGACAAACTGCGGTCAGTTGGCAACTGCTGATTGCATTTGCAGTAGTTTCATAAAAGGCTGACGAGTGGCACTTTTTCAGGAGTGGCCCTTGCTTCAAATATTTTACGGTGATTGAAATATACTTTTTGATGGCTGAATTTTTACGTAATTTGTTAGTTTGTGTATTTAATACTAAAATATGCGCTTCTTATTTCACATAGGATATTAAGTGATACTATAGTGCGGACAATATTTTGATTACTAAGGGGGAGATATTATCGCACTTATGACGGTACAAATCATAATTTCCTCTCTCCAGCCATGATTATTGTATGTTCTAATCAAAAACATTTGCTTTCATTTGATATTGACAATCAGTAATCTAGTTAAGCATCATAAGCCGATTGTAGTATCAGCAACTATACTACTCTGTCATGTAGATTGTATAAGAAACATTCGAATGGAAATGAAATAAGACTACATTTGACTGCACCTGTGATTAAGTGACACAGCACAAAGGTGACCGCGTTGTATAAAATAAAACACGATCAACGACCCGCTGGGCTGTACTGCAGCGAGTAGTGGCCGCCGATACATTGACTCGTCCCAATAAGTAACTCTTTGTTTGTAGTGCCGAGCGCCGAGCGCCGACCACTTCACACTCACTGACAAATATTACTTTCGTAGATGACAAATATAAAGGTTCACTCCCCGTACTATATAGAGGTAATAGATGTGTTACAAAACTCTGTACTTGAACTATACTGCTAACACGAATGAAAATGTTTAATGGTGTATTTGCAATTGTTTAAAGAGTCGGGAAAAGCGAACACTATATGTGTAAATGATGATATAGATGAGTGGCGGCGTGGTCTGGCAGCTGTAAGCAATCAACATGTCGCGCGTTGATTTGTGGCGCGCATATTAGAAGCAGTTAATCTCGCATGGTGAGCGTGTGTCCGCTAATGTGAGTGCGGTGCAAACATGGCGTCGGTCGTCGCTGCAATTACACGCAGCACGCAGCGGTCAGCGGTCAGCGCCGAGCTAACATTTGAGTAGCCGTCATCCTGCCGTCTCTAGTTCCCTGCGAGTGTACACAAAGCAGCCTCATCCACAATCTAACCGATTATATTAATAATATGTATTTGTTTGTTTGCTTGCAGCAAATAATGCAAAGTTGACTGTGCTGGTCGCTCCGAGCTACGAGAGAGAGTCAATGTATCGGCGGCCACTACTCGCTGCAGTACAGCCCAGCAGCGGGTCGTTGATCGTGTTTTATTTTATACAACGCGGTCACCTTTGTGCTGTGTCACTTAATCACAGGTGCAGTCAAATGTAGTCTTATTTCATTTCCATTCGAATGTTTCTTATACAATCTACATGACAGAGTAGTATAGTTGCTGATACTACAATCGGCTTATGATGCTTAACTAGATTACTGATTGTCAATATCAAATGAAAGCAAATGTTTTTAATTAGAACACACAATAATCATTGTGAAAGAATCTGGTCATAACTGTTAGTCTTAACATGTAACAACTCCTAGAAAGTCACTATTTGGGAGGCAATTTGTATTTAATCATCTCAAGGTCAGGCCTCTGAGTCACCGACCTGTGTGTTGGAAGTAACCTCTCCTCACCGACCTCGTGCGGGAACTTAATTTGGTGCTTCATTACACTGAGCGTGAATTACAGTCACCGCCGGTAGATGTCGGCAGTGTCGGCGTTAGGCCGGTGGCACGCGAATGAGCTCCACTATTAGACCTTTTATAATTCATGACGCGTTGCACGACGCTATGAATTGTTTGTGTGTGTCAGCCACACGAGTGCGCCGTGTGTTGGCGCTACATTCACTCGGCGACACAAATACTTCTGTATTTGTTGTAGCACCACAATACTAGCGCGTTTTATAAAAGTGTTATTGCCATATTAACATAATTATATAAATAAAAATATGCAACTTACAACAGAGTGTAGCATACCAGTTGCTACCCTGAGGTGGGAGTCCCCGAGTGCAGCAACTAGTTGAAGTATGACTTCACTTTAATTATCTGAGACTGTGTCGTTGATGTTTCGCTGCCTCGCAGAGCCTTCAATTTACTTCGCTCGGTTTAACTAAAGTATTCTTTCACAACACTCGCTCGAGTGTCGCTCGACATAATCTCGTAAATAATAGTCATCCCACTCTCTGCACGTTGCGTTGACGTCTTCGAGTCGACATCCTAAAACATTACTAAACTTTTTAAATCCGAGGTTTTCTTTAAGGATTTCATTTTCAAACAAAGGTAAACTTAAACGAAGTTATTTCGTTCAATTTGAATTCTACTTTAATTTTACTCATTGTTACGCACAAAGTGATACATCCAGCATTATTATATGTACCTAAGTACAATGTAATAAACTATAAACTGAACAATTCAAACAAAAAAAATATCGGGCGGTACTCAGTTACATCCTGAAGTATGTAGACATCGGTATCGGACGATAAGAAATTCAGTTATACATGGAGAGAAATCCCCACGCAGCGACGTTCTCTTAACTATGTTCCTAGAAAAAACTGCTAAACGACAAAAAATCA